TTAGTGCAGCCCTGAGGCAAATTGCACTTTTGCCCTTGGACTCAACTTGAGTCCGGTACTTAAGACCGGACTCAAGCTGAGTTCAGGGATTCAGTTCTCGGCCTCAGTGCTTGTGCTTCAGTGTGACTTGCTGCGATATTATGTTCAGAATCAAGATTGTGACTTTGCGACTTTGCCACTTTGTGTCTGTGTCCGTCCAGTCGTGTCTAGCCCTTGTCGAGTTGAGTGAGTGTGTGTGTGTGCTCTCACTCCCTCCCTCTCTCTTCCCCGACCTCGCTGCTCTGCCTCAGCCTCGTCACAGTTACTCCTTTCTGCTGTATAGTGCTATGATGTCTGGGGGTGTGCGGGTTTTTCAGGAGGAGGCACTTGGGCTAAGTTAGGGCCTGGTTGCGCTACTCTCCATACACCAAGTTTGGCAAGTAGGCGCCTGGTTGCACCTACTCGCCAAACTTGGTGAATGAAAAATTATGTCAGACCGGCGAACGTTTTCGGTTTCCCCGCCTGTGCACGGCGGTTTGTGGAGGTCGGTCCTCGGACCTCTCCACAAAACAACTTTCTCAAGAGTGCACGGCGGTTTGTGGAGGGCGGTGCTCAGACCTCTCCACAAAACAACTTTCTCGAGATTGCACGGCGGTTTTTGGAGGGCGGTCCTGGGACCTCTCCACAAAACAACTTTCTAGAGAGTGCACGGCTCCGCGAGTCGAGATCAGGCAGACAATTTTTTTTAACTTCTCTGTAGAAGAAATATTGTGGCGAGTAAGTGCAACCAGGCCTCCAGTTCGACACCATTCTCATTTTTTTCACTCTCCACCCATCCGCCATGCATTGTGGCGGTTCGAGTTTTGTTTCTGCCCAACTACTTCTGGCTACCTCCAGCTCTGTGTACTTCCGAGCTATTGGCGTGCCTCGAACGCCTGTAATCAACATGGAGTCTCGTTTCTATCTTCTTGGTTACTTACTTCTAGGGGCTCGTGCACGTCAAAACATCAGCGCGCGTGCACCATGGGGTTGCGCATAGGCAGGGGATGTCATGGGGGGTGTTGCGCATAGGTGTTTGAGCGGGCGCGGGAGAATCAGCGCGTGGTTTCACAGTCTGAACCACTATAGCCTCTACGAGGATGTGTGGAAGTATCTGGAAATCTGTATCTGGAGCTCCTTCTGATCCTTATTATTAGGATACTCTCCTCTTCCTTTGTGGTAGTTTCTATTACTATAGTGTATTCTTGGTTCTCGGACTGTCTTCTCTCGGACGGAACATGATGACCAATGGCGGGGTCTGATGGTTGAAGGAATTGTTGTAGGGCGATGTATAGTTAGGAAGTTGGACGGTCAAGTCCTCCTCAATTTGCGGCTTCAATTGACCCCTGATGAGGGCCGGCTGGCGACCGGCCGAAACGAGGCGTCGGGTTGCGGTTGTGACCGACTGTTTTCAAGGTGATGCAGGCATTGCAGGGTGTTGACGACTGTCGATATCCTCGCTAATCTTAGCACGACGTCAGTCCATTGTTGAGATAGAATCTTTTTTTTGAAGAAGATGACCCATTTGAGTCGCGTTCGGGAGACTTGATGCCTTGGGTTCTTGCTGAAGTTGCGGCCATTCTCTTCCTTGGATGTCATGCGTCTGTGATGCGTGTGCATTCTGGGACTATTGCAAACCTCTTTCCTGTCTATTGTCCTATGCTGATGTATGTTTCACTAATTATTGAGCTGCTATTTTGCAAACCATCATGTGACGGAGATTAGCCACTCTTAGGGCACGCTCACACAGCGGTACCAAATCCGCATAACCCCCAATATCCCAAAAAAATAGTGTTGAGAGATAGTCACACCAGGATCTCATTTCGTCACACCAGGATCTCATTTCCCCAAACTACTTATTTGTGACCCCGTTTGTCAGCGGCCTGAGGGGCCGCAGTGTTACCCCAAATTCCCTTTCTTGTTTGGAATCAACCTGCGGAAATGGAAAGAAAGAAATTCAAAGATGAAGATATTGCTAGGAAACGTGATCTCGCAGTGTGAATGGGGTAGTCGAAGAGGACCCAAAATCCAGGTGGCCACAACCTTTGTCTGTTGCGAAATGGGGAAGCAGTGTGACCTGTCCAGCCAGTGTGAGCCGCTATGTTCCCAAATTGGGCATCCCATTTTTCTATGAAAATAGACCTGTTTTGGGTAGGCAGTGTGAGCGTGCCTTTATCTTCTCTGTTGCCGTCGCCACACCACTCTTGAAATTCAAAAATGTTTCAAGAGTTGTCAGAAATTTTCAAGAGTCCACTTTTCTAGAGTTTAGGGTATTCCCCTTACTTAGTCACACACCACTCTAGAAAAGTGAACTCTTGGAAATGGGCGCATCTGTTTTCAGTTCCTCAAGAGTGCTGTGTGGCTCTGCTGCGGAATGAACCTGGTCTACCCCGTCTTCCTTGTTCGTGAGTCCACTCTTGAGAATGGCCTGACGGATCCAACCGAGATGTCAGGGTCACATTTGACACCTCTTGAAAACCACGTGCCCGTCAAGTGGGGCCTCCCTATCCACTACTCTCCACATGCACAAAACATGGCAATGTATCTTTCCATGTTCTGGGGTAGATTCACTCTAGATTTTGCAGATTTTGAGAGTGGTGGAGCCAGGACCTCCCCTGCTCTAGCGAGGACGCTTGAAAAGAGAGGTATTGCAGTGGCAGGCTGGGCTGCGGGTTTTCAGTGTTTTTTTTTTTTTTTTTTTTTTTTTTTTGTCAATGGGTTTTCAGTGTTTCAAGAGCGACTATTGAACCCAGTTTCTGAGACCTCTTGAAATTGAATTTGGGAACAACAACAAAAAAAAAAAGTGAATTTGGCAAAAAACTATCAAGGCTGTGTGGCGGCGCTCGGACTCTTGAAAACAACACATTTTCAAGAGTTGTGTGGAGACACTAGAAAGGCGAAAAAGTTCGTTTTAGGCCCTCCCACACTTCTGCTCGTTTGGGGGCGGACAATTTGGACAAATACACAGTTTCTTTGTCTTTTGGGGGTAAAGTACTGGGGAGTCACAAAAACGAGTTATAATTGCACCATGGGGTAATTGCACCATGGGGCAAGATACAGGGCCTCGCCACACCACTCTCGAATCTCGAAAAAATTTGAGGGCTGTCAGAACTTTGGAGAGAGCGGTTTTCGAGAGAAAAAGGCCCTTCTCCACATAGCACACCCGAAATTTTCCTCGGCGGCCAGATTCGGTAGTGCTGTGTGGCGGAGCCAACTCTTGAATTGGAAGCGTGTCCGGCACCCTCCACCTCTCTATTCTCGAAGAAGGTGCATTTTCGAGAGTTGCTTTCGAGATTGTGCTGCTCTCCTTCAGCGCACTACCGTCCAAAATGGCCTGACAGCTCTCGAAATCGACCACGAACTTGATCACCTACGGGTGGTATCACGAAAACCCCGAAGCTGCAGGCTGGGCTCAAACATCGTTTCGAGAAGGCCCTCGAAACCTGACAGCTCTCGAAGACATCCGAGGGTTTTCCAACTCTCGAATTTTTTAGATTCGAGAGTGGTGTGGCGAGTCCCACGGTTTGCAAGAATTGCACTTGGCGCACCGTACCTGGCCAGAAAGCTCGGTTGTATACATTGCCCGAAATGCAATTGCAAACTCTATATTGGTCCATACTGCAATTATAACTCCTTTTTTTTTTTTTTTTTTTTTTTTTTTTTCTCAACTTCTGTTTGTTTACCTTCCACTACCTGCTCCTAAGACTATCTAGAGGGGACCCCTGCAAGCATAGTTTTCCTCTCTCTGTGAAGGGGTTGTGACTCTGGCGTAGTTTCCCCTTGCCTTTTTTTTCCAATCGAAAGGTTTTTCCGCTGGGGGGATTTGTAGGAAAAAGGAAAAAAGGGCGAAGAATCCAGGCAGGTGCGACCTTGCGAGGGCCAAGGTCCCACTAGCAGCGTTGAGTTTCCTCAACGCCTGAATCTGGACGCTCGTGGAGATGTGCCGTTGGGAAAACTAAACGCAATTTCTGCACATATCCACAGGCACGTCCAGATTCAGGCGTTGAGGAAACTCAACCCTGCTAGTGGGACCTGGCCCCAGGTCCCCGGGAGTGAACGGTGGAACATAGCCTCTGTCAGTGAGGCCGCTGAGGGGTGTACCTACCTTCACACCCCTTTCCCTCCGCCTTCTCCTCTCTTTCCATCTTCAAACCTCAGGCGTAGTATTGTTGCTTCTCCCATTTGACTTGTGCTTTTCACTACCTCCTCCTCCTCCTCCTCTTCCTCCTCCTATCTCCTCCCTTCTCCTCCTCCTTTTTCTTCTTCGTCATTTCATCTTGTTCTTCAATTCATCTTCTTCTTCTTCTTCTTCTTCTTCTCTCAGGTGGAGAATTGAAGCTTCTCTATACAGCGGATCGCTCCTAGGTTGAACTGGGACCACCTGTTTTTCGTTACCACCTCCTCTTCCTCCTCCTCCTCCTCCTCCCCTCCTCCTCCTCCCCTCCTCCTCCTCCCCCCCTCCTCACTTCCCCTTCTTCCCCTTCCTCTTCTTCTTCTTCTTCTTCTCCTCCTCCTCCTCCTCCTCCATGCCGGTGTAGCACTGTACCACTCTTTTGGACTCGTTCCATCTTCTGAAGGCCGTCCCAAAGATGGGTACTTTCACTCATGCAGGCGTAGCCTACGATTTAGGCTTTGGATCTTGAAGAATTGGGCTTCTTCTTCTTTTTCTCCTCCTCCTCCTCCTCCTCCTCCTCCATGCCGGTGTAGCACTGTAGCACTCTTTCGGACTCTTTCCATCTTCTGAAACCCGTCCAAAAGATGGCTACTTTCACTCATGTAGGCGTAGCCTACGATTTAGGCTTTGGATCTTGAAGAATTGGGCACGGAAAATTTCTCAATCTTGCGCTCTCCCCTTCGATGTCCTTTGTGTTGATCTCTGTTTATACTACGGGTCACTTGTCGTCCGGTGGCTCTTACTTCTCTTGGCGCTTGTGTATCCTTTTCCTATGCGATTCGGTAATTACCTTTACAGTGAGCGATGTCGGTCCAGCAAAGGAATCTCGGCGGCACGGTAGACGAGGCAAGGGGGGACAGACGCGGCAGACAGTGGAGGGGGCAACTGCGTACAGAGGAGTCGGGCTCGATGCACCCACCGCCGTTGATCCAGATCCGCACTCACTGTAGCCAAGATGACGATGCTTCCATGGTGATCGATTTCCGTTCTTCGTTTGTGAGAAGTGAGTTTGACAAGAGGCACATCCTCCCTGTCCAGGTGGCTTACCTGAATGCCATGGAGCTGAGGCGTAGGTGGCTTAGGAGCAGGTGGATGATTCTCTCTCTTCGGTGTTACATGTCCCGCAGATCGGCCCTTGGTCTCCTGAAGAGTCGTGATTACCAAGCCTTTGCCATTGCGTTCGAAAAGTACTTCTGCGATTCCATGCCCGTTTATTTGTGGGAAAACCCGGTGGAGTGGAGTACCGACTTCCCGTGCACGCCAGCTGAGTTCATGTACTCCTTTCTGACGCAGTCATGGGAGAGTTCCCTTCGTCGTAAAGGCAGAGGTGGTCGCAAGCGTGGCAATAGATTGACGTTCAATCATGATCGTGGTCCTCCTCCTCCTCCTCCTCCTCCTCCTCCTCCTCGTGCTCCTGCTGCCGCTCCTGCTCCTGCTACTGCTGCTGCTGCCGCTGCTGCTACTGCTGTATACACGAACGATCCGATGGCAGCTTTCGAAAACACGTTCAGGAGTGATCGTGAGAGTTCTGTACCACGTACAGGCGAAGCCGCTGAGGAAGTGATCCTCCTGGCAAGGTGGCGTAAAGCATTGCGCCGCGAATCGGATACGTTTGTGCACAAAAGGACAAGTCACAATCATGATGCAGCTGCTGGTGTTGGTGTTGGTGTTGGTGTTGGTGCTGCTGCGGCCGATGATGATGATGAGGATGATGATGATGATGATGATGATGATCGTGATAGAGAAGATTCAATCAGGTGGAGTAGTATTCAAGAGGTGATACCAGCAGCAATCCAAGGTATGGCGGTGGGGGGGGAAGATGCAGATCAGTCTGATCAGGTAATAAGGAACAAGTTGCTGGGACTGTTCATGATGGTTGTCCCTCCGACCAGCGTCTCCACGCTGGGAACGTGTTTCGCCCGCTACGGTGAAGATCGTCGGGGAGAGAGCGATGCGTTTCTCGCCTCTGTGTTACACGCCATAGCCAGGTCTAGGGATTATCCCATGTGCCAGCAGGGGTGGTGTCTTGTCAAGCTGATCGACTTCGATGCAGTCGGGTCCGACGGAGGCCGTCTCTCCCTCCGCATGTTCGTTACGTACTGGGATCCCGTCAGCTGGCGCGCAACCGTCGTGGATCGGGACGATGACACGACCGCCATAGCCGAAGCTGGCAGGCTGCATGTGATCGGCGACACGCTAGTTACTCTCAAGAGAGAAGATGTGATCGACAGCCGGTACAAGCCACACAGGGAGCTTGTCCTCCCTGGCACGTGCGTGAGAGGTGTGGCCACACGTGGGACGGCGAGAAACGTTTTCGTCGTGGGTAGCTCTGCTGTTGTTGAGGGGAGTAGTTACGCGTTCAGCGAGGACGGGAATTCTATTTTTAGAACGCCACCCAGCGCCGGCCTGACAGGCCGTCGTGTGCTCGGCGACGCGGCTGCTGGCTTGTCCGAGTTCGTAGGCCTTTGGAGAGAGCGTGACTTGTCATCCTCCCCTGATCCTCATCTTCTGGTGGGGAGAGAGAGGGAGGAGAAAATCGAGGCGAGATCCCAGCTTGTGAAGATGATACACGTGGCAGTTTCTCTGGCCAACCTCGCGCGGTCGGCCTCGTCTTTCGATGAGTGTGTGCACAAGTACGGCCTCCGCTTGACCTCCCTGCGAGACGCAAAGCAGTTCGGCTACAAGCACTTCGTCAGCCTATTCAAGGGCTCGTTGTGGGAACACCTGCCAGCGGAACTGGCCTTGAGGATCGTCGGATTCCTTCCACCTCAGCGTCTCTTACTTAGACCCCGTGAAACGCCCGGAGACATGCCCTTCCAACCCAGGTCCCATCGCTACGTCTGCTTGTAGCTGTCAAATCGAGGGGAAGGTTTCTATGACGTCCAGCTCATTTCATTCGAGGGCTCGTTGTGGGGACCACAACTGGCAGTGGAACGGGTCTTGCGGATCATCGGCCGGATTTCTTCCACGGCACGTCAGCGTGCGTCACTTCGACGGCTTCGGCCTGTGAAACGAGAGGAGAGATGCTCTTTCAAACCCCAAATTCCATCGCTAGCTCTGCTTATAGCTGTCAAATCGAGGGAGGGGGAGGTTATCGATGACGTCCAGCTCATTTCATTCAAGGGCTCGTTGTGGGGACAACAACTGCCAGTGGAACGGGTCTTGCGGATCCTCGGTCGGATTTCTTCCACGGCACGGCAGCGCTAGTTACTTCGACGATTTTTCGACCCGTGAATCGAGAGGAGGGATGCCCCTTTCAAACCCCAAATTCCATCGCTAGCTTTGCTTATAGCTGTCAAAGCGAGGGAGGGGGAGGTTATCTTCTTTTTTTTTTTTTTTTTTTTTTTTTTTGAAAAGCTTTCGCTGTCTACTAGAGGGGGAGGGAGGGGGAGGTTATCGATGACGTCCAGTTCATCATTCCAAAGGCTTGTTGTGGGAAGAAAGTCCAAACAACTGCCGGAGGAAGTGGGGTTGCTAATCATCGGATTTCTGCCACGGCACGTCAGCGTGCGTTACTTCCACGATTTTTCGACCCGTGAAACGAGCGGAGAGATGCCCTTTCAAACCCCGAAGTCCATCGCTAGCTCTGCTTATAGCTGTCAAATCGAGGCAGGGGGAGGTTATCGATGACGTCCAGTTCATCATTTCAAGGGCTCGTTGTGGGAAGAAGTCCAAAGAACCGTCCGACGAAGTGGCGCTGCGGATCATCGGATTTCTTCCACGGCACGTCAGCGTGCGTTACTCCGACGGCTTCGACCTGTGAAACGAGAGGGGAGATGCCCATTCATGCCAAGTGCCATCGCTGCATCTGCTCATAGGTGTCAACACGAAAACGGGGGTGGGGGGGGGCAGGGAGGGAGAAGGCGGGGTGGTTGACGTCCAGGGGTACGTGAGCCTAGGGGGCACGAGCCGAAATTCCATATTCGTGTTCGACAAGGGTCATTCTCGGATATATTTATTTATTCATTTATTTATTTATTGATTTAATTATTTATTCCCATTAAAAAAAAAAAAAAAAAATCATCTCTAGATTTTTGCGTCGCGTCATCCTTAATTAGGATGGGGTCATCGTTATTTTCTTCCACTGTGTACAGCCACATCTGCAACGAACATGCAGGTGTTCCCCGGTGTACACTAGTTGATGAGCTTTGTTTTCTTCCTGTCTGTTTCATTGTTTTGAGCGAGCTCTTTGTGACCTGTCACTTGTATGTTTTGTTTGTGAGTTCTGTGCTCTACGGGGCTTGATCCGTAGGTCTGTTCCCGCTAGTCCCTGTTTGGCAGGCTTAGGCCATTGGGCCTCTTCTCTTTGCCCTGTCATTCATTCATAACACTGGGCCCCCTCTTCCCCTATATAGGTCTAGGGTCGGATGAGTCTTGGGCTGTTGCTTAGATTGTCTGTCGAAGTTCTACAGTAGGCCGTGTGGGGTCTTTGAAAAAAAAAAAAAAAAAAAAAAAAAAAAAAAAAGAACTGGCGGGGAGAGGTCTTTTTTGCTTCCCCTTTTGCTGGGGTAATTCTGCCCGTCTGTTGCTGAAGCACTGCTGCGCTATTTTGGGCGAAGTCTTCTTCTTCTTCGAAAGCCCCAGGACAGTGTTGTTGGGTTTGGGTGGTGGCAGTGCTGCCATCTACCAGTTGGCAGCCATATCTGCTGTTCCTGCTCAGGGGGGACTTCATCTTCATCTTCTTTCAAGTGCTGGATAGGTTGTCTCCTTCTTCATCAGGACTTCCAGCGCTGCACTTCCCTGCCGGCGCTTAGCTGGCGCTGCCACTCCATCATTCAGATTGCTAGTTCCGATTGGCACGTTGTGACAGCTGTGGGGCTACTGCTGCTACCTACAGCAGCCATAGCCAGGGGTATGAGGGGGCAAGGAGGAAGAAGAGGACTCGTGCATACTCTTTGTAGATTACTTGTTTTTGGTTGTTCAGGGTTATTGTAAAGGCGGTTGTGATGACTGGAAGAAGTACTGTGGATTGATTTGAGGAGGATGGGGGATTGCAGAATCGAAATTCGTCGTTTTTCAATTCTCTCTGTATTTTGAGCTTCCGCTGTGGATGTCTTCTGCCCCGGTTTTGTGTGGATTTGCCTCCTCCCTTCGAGTCTACTCTGCAACTGCATGGGTGAATGGAAAGGTGTGAATTCGTCCTGGATTCAAGCTCAATCGGGTACATAACAACGTGTCCCAACGCGGTGTTCATTGGACGGGGGTTCAGCGTTGGTCTTCGACGGGGGTTCAGCGTTGGTCTGCGACGGGGGGAGGGTTGAAACGCCGGGAGGGGGCGGTGGGGGTTGCTTGGCACAGGAAGCTGTTGTAGGGGGTGGAAAAGGGATGCAGGCACCCCCTCCATCACTGTAAGGAGGAAAGAGTGAAAAAAAAAGAAAAACGGAACAAAAAACTTACCTCCGCGTGTGTGTTTGTGTGTGTCTGTGTGCGTGTATGTGTGTGTTTGTGTTCTTTTTTTTTTTGTGTGTGTGTATGTGTGTCGGTGTGTGTGTGTGTGTGTGTGAGTGTGTGTGTGTTGTCATATTCGCTATGCACTCGAAAAAAGTAAGACTGTGTCAGACTGTTTAGTGGGCGTTTCACCTACTCATCATACACGAACACACACACACACACACACACACACACACACACACACACACACACACCCACACACGTACAGACACACACCCGCACAAAAAAAAATAAAAAATTGTTTTTCTTTTGAATTGCTCACGCCCCCTTGTGGCTTCTCCTGCGCGCATGCCAGCTGGGGGCGTGCGTTCAGTTTTGGCGACTCCATTGCCGCGGGGTGCATTTGAAGCGCATTTGAACGCTCTCACGCGCGCGCACATTGGAACGAGAAAGCGCGTTCTGCACCTGCACGTTCAGATAGTTACGTAGAGTCCCAACGGGGTAAGATCAGTAGAGTCACAAAAACGAGTTATACTAATTAAACTGCGGGGCGAGATACAGTTGGCAATTGCACTTCGGGCACATACGTAGCCAGCAAGCTAGGTTGTATACATTGCCCCAACTGCAATTTGAAACTGTACCCTTTTTTTTTTCTTTTTTTTTTCTATGTTCTTCTCTCAACTTCTGTTTTTGCCTTTCCCATAATGCAATTATAACTCATTTTTGTGACTCCCACGTAGTTCCCCACTCAACTGATTGGCCCCAGGTAATTCAGAAATTCAGGTAATTCAGAAATTATTTTATTCCAGTCAACTGATTGTGTCTGGATTCCAGCTTGGGTCTGATTCATGTTTCAACAGATCGTGGGTGTGTACCAAGGCCGGTTGGTCAACCGACTTTTTTCGGATTTTCTCTCCAAATTTTCTCCCCGGCGTTTGCTCCTCGTTGGATTCGACCTGCCAAAGGCCCAAAGCACCCCCCTTTGGATGCTACGATGAGATTACTCACCCTATACGACTTGTCCAACTGATAGCTGGACTTGATTTTTTGCGGTCAGATACACCCGGACCTGGCCTTAATCCAGGTCAGGTACACAAAGAAAGTGCTAACTATGAGTTTGCCCTAAGAACTGCGCTCCCAGAGGGGGATCGCGTTTTCACGCTGACCTTGGGTGATGGCATGTGCTTTTCGATTGTAAGTCAAAAAAAGGATCAGGGGGATCGCGTTTTCACTCTACCCTTGGCCGATCCGATGGCTTCGATTAGGAGTTAAGAGGTTTAGGGGGATCGTGTTTTCACTCTAACCTTGGGTGAGGTCCCTGCGGATCACCGGGATCGTGTTCTCTCTCTAACCTTGGGTGAGGATTAGTGGAATCACGTTTTCACTCTAGCCTTGGGTGAGGATTAGTGGAATCACGTTTTCACTCTAGCCTTGGGTGAGGATCAGGGGAATCGCGTTTTCACTCTAACCTTGGGTTATAAGATGGCTTCGATTGGGAGTTTGAGCATCAGGGGGATCGCGTTTTCACTCTAACCTTGGGCGATTGGATAGCTTCGATTGGGAGTTAAGAGGATGTGGGGATCGGTTTTTCCCTTTTTAACGTTGGGTAAGGGGATCAGGGGGATCCTTTTTTTTTTTTTTCGTTGTAACATAGGGTGAGGATCAGCGGGATGGCGTTTTCACTCTAACCTTGGATGAGGATCAGGGCGATCGCGTTTTCACCCTAACCTTGGGTGAGGATCAGGGGGATCGCGTTTTCACTCTAACCTTGGGTTATAAGATGGCTTCGATTGGGAGTTAGAGGATCAGGGGGATCACGTTTTCACTCTAACCTAGGGTTACGAGATGGCTTCGATTGGGGACCACCAATCCTAGGATCAGATGGTCCCATTAGCAGTCGGATAGGACCTCGCCAAAGGACGACGCGGAGATTATTTCTTTTCCTTTTTTTTTTTTTTTTTAATTTGGACGATTTCTCGATTTGTGCGTGTCATCCTTGAGTGCGCAGGGGCCATGCTAATCTTCTCTGTATCGTTCCAATTTTAACGGATGTTTCCGTTTTTTCATTTTTATTATTTCTTAGGTATGTTAGAGAGCAAGATACGAAAGTCGTCAGTGGGAAGCGGCGGCACTCTGCCAAATGCTGAAGACGGAGGATGATGGATGTGCGGCATCATGTGCCGCCCGTCCTTTCAGGAGATATCAACGGTGTGTGGCACTCCCACTAACCCATCCAACTCGGCTTTTTCAAGGGCTGATTCCAGACATAGCGCGTTTTTTTTTTTTCGTTTTTTTTTTTTTTTTTTTTTTTTTTT